TTTTCAGTACCAGATGAATTCTGTGTTTAAATTATTGATTCATATAGTATGTTTTTATAAACCAGTTTTTGTAAATAAAAGTACAAAATAAAGGTCTACACAGATTCTAGTTCTTAACATTGTCTTTCTTCAAAGGTTTGGTGGAAGACTTTATTTCCTCTGAAACTCTAACGTATACAAATTTACTATATTTTTCTTGTAGTGGAAGGAGAAAAAAAAAAAAAAATCATTATTTTCCCAAGTAATTTATTGCCACTTTTAAGATTTTCTTATAGTGTGGCTTACGGGTGATACCATTATCTTTCACTATCAGGAGGCCAACCGTGTTCTACAACTTATCTGCTTTTCCAAGGGAAGTAATAAATGAATCGAGGCTCTTAGATGCTGTGATATGATGGGATTTTTTTGTTGTTTGTGTGCTCACAGCTCTAGAATAAAAATTTCCTGGAACTGTTTGACAATAGTAAGGAATAGTGTACTGAAACTCATTAAAAGTGACAGAATTTTTATGTCTGAACCTAATGACTACTGAAAAAATAGATCAGAATGAAGTTATAAAGTTACACAGTAGCTATTTAACAAAAATAAGGAATTGACATAAAAGTTATTCAGACTTTGGATCAGGACTGACAAACTTCATGCATATGTATAAAGTTACACAGTAGCTATTTAACAAAAAAAAGGAATTGACATAAAAGTTATTCAGACCTGTGTGTTTTGTATCAGGACTGACAAACTTCATGCATATGGTTGTTCCTTTCTTCCATTTGATGCTTTAAGGAACACTTACACATTGTCTTGGAACCTTTTTGCTTCACCTGTGAAACTCCCTCCTAAGATTGTGTGAACCATCACTGATTTTTCGGGGATGAGCGAATAACCCAAGGACTATGTTTTAAGTAATGACTGTTACACAGGAGAGAACTAGAAGCAGACACAGAATATACCTGTAAGGTAACTGGGAGATCTTAGTTTCCATGTTTGTAAAATAGAGTTAAGATGACAAGTCTGTGACTCGTCAGAGGCTGTAGAGTAAGTCAGTATCAGAGACAGTATTTCTTTGTATGAAAAATAGAGTCGAGTATTGTTTAATAAATAGCAATAGCTGATCTCAAAGCTGTCTTTGTTCTGTCCCTTTCTGAACTCCAACATGTTTCTTCAAAGGAAGGCTTTTCCCCATTGAGCTGTTGCCAATGTCAATAGCAGCTGAATCCCAAACTCACCACATTCCTTTGCAAATGCCCCCTCAAACCTGTCCCTCTTTTCCAATATCTTGACAGGTCTTTGTAAAACCTGTTAAAATAATACTAATCATGTGCAATGCTTATAAAATTGATAAATGAATTGTTAATCTTTATTGTCATTTTCACTTAACTAAGACTGAAATAACATGAAATGTGATATTCTCTGGTCTTTTTCCATCTCTGAGTGTTCCTGTTTGTGTGTGATGCATATCTGTTATTAGCTGACTTTCACGGGACTCTTGGCACTGGGAGTCAAGGGGGAAAGATGATTCTGAACAAAAGAAGATGCAACTTTGCTTACATAGTTCGTTTCCTTAATCCATCATGAATTAGAAGATCAGTTTACAGGCAGTGATAAATGGATCTCTAAGCACCTTCGTGGTGTCTCTGTTTTTTTTCTCTCTCTGGACCCGACCTTTAATCCTCATCACTGAAGATAATAACCTTTTTTCACACCACTGCAAAGATGTTAAAACCCAGTAACAGCACTCTCAGAGCACATGGAGCAGTGTTGTTTCAAAATGATTAAAATAAAAAAAAGGGGGGTGGGGGACGGGGTGCAAGGAGACCCTGGCCCTCAATTTCTAATCTAAAATAAACCTTTCTAAATTTACAATGTAAAATCTAGATGCATCTTTCTTCATTAAATAGCATTCTCTTAACTAGTGATTTTACAAGTCTAAAACAGGTGCAATGTGTCATGCAATTTATGGATCCTAGTACCTGCCATAAAGTATTTTATGATGGCTACATTCTGTGTTATTAGTAGCTGTCTTTTTCTGCAGCCATTGGTGTTTGATAATAGTCTTAAAACACCCAAAATTACTTACCTGCAAGCAACATTCCAGATAGTCCCTGTTGACAGTTTGAATAAGTTTAGTGCCCTTTTGTTGTACTTTACCTTCAAAACAAACTGATTGAACCATCAATAGCTCCTGAAAGCTGACAGAGGCATGTCATCTGGGCTAACCCTCTGATAGTAGGTTATCTGTGGGAGTTAACCTCCCTGCATTGTTAACTGAAATGTTTTATGTACTATGCAACTTTAGGATACTGCTGTGATAACCTTAGTAACTAAGTCATACATCACAGTAAAGAGATTTTGTGCAACAAATAACCCTGGATTAAATTTACAAGGGTTGAATTGATATTGTAAAGTGTTCATTCCAGGGCTTTGGTAATCCTTTCCTGTATTTTTTATGGCAAACTTGTGTTACATATAGATTGAAACTGCATCTTCATATTTCTAGCTAAAATATATCCAGGAAGACCAATGCTTTCCTTCAGCCATTTAATAAAATAGTATCGTATTATTTTCATATAATTTAGATTGTTTTTATTCCACATTTAGCAAAAGGAATATGAATAAATGGGATTGTGGTTTGAATCACCTTTTAAAAGAATTAATCACTGATATACCTTTGTTCTACTGGTGGAATAACCTTTAACTTTATATTTGCTCTTTTTAAGGAGTGCAAGTTAAAAAAACCCAGAAACCACCACCAACAAACAACCCCCAAAAAACAAAAAACCATGACAAAAAATCAACCCCAAACCTGTGATTTGTAGTGTAGTTTGCTGTTTAGTTTACGTGGGTAGGGCTTTTTGGTTTTGTTTTTGGAATTGGCAAGTACTGGTGCTCATTCTGTTTTTTGAAGTGCAGTCAGAATGACTTAAAAATACAAAAATACATTTGTATCAAGGAATGCTATTATAATTTTAAGCTCTTTTGAAATGATTGAGAGACTGACATTAGGGCTGTGATCCAAAGTCAGCATAGATGACAGTGCTGTCTTAGTCTGTTGTCATTTTTGTTGCAGCCTGCTTTTCAATGGCATATTTCATTCCATCATTAAACATTTGCTGATTTTCTAATACCGATGTTTTCTTCACCTGAATATTCATCTTTTCTCACCCTACACTTAGTGGGTGTCTTTACTCGTTTTTAGCTTCACTCTTCTTCACTCTTGACATATTGTTTCCTTCTGTACATGTCTTCATCTGAAAGAATCTGTTGTCATCGGAGCTTTTCTGCCAGTAATGCAAGATGGATAGCTTCTCCTCCACTGAAAGATAAGGGCCAGCAAAATGCCAGGGAGGACTGGAAGGGCAGCCAGGAAAGCTGGGAGGAGTCTAGGAGTGAGAATGTGTCAGTCTCGTAGATCTGTAGCTGTTGTTTAATAAATGGTCCTTGGACAAGTTCTGTTTTGTAAAGTGACTCTCCCTTTTTCGTCTTGTAATATCATTGAAAGTAATGGATTGAAGAATCACAATTAAATTGTCTGAGCTTTTCAGTACTGAGCATTTTCAGTTCACTTATTAACAATTTATGAAGCTGCTGCCTCAGAGGAAAGGTGTACCTGACGAAAAGGTTCATTTGCAGCATTAAATTTTTCTTGGTTGTAGAAGGGGAGTCTTACAGTCTTCTACACATTTTTATCTGGTCTTGAGAACAGTATGATAAGATAACTCCTACCTTTTAAAACACGTTTTTTGTGTGGTGTTCTTTTTCAAAATGTTATGTAGAGTTTTCTCCTACTTTGATTTCTTCCTCCCAGTGCCAGAAGGGACTGGTATGATTAGGAGGGTCTCTGACTGACTGGAGTTCTATGCAAAGCAGCCGGGCATGGGGAAACATTATCAATCACCTTCCTACCCCCTGCCAGGAAAAGTCTGGCAATTCCCTCGCTTTGCAATGTCTGCTTCACATTTGGTTGACTAAATGTAAATAACATGTACTTGAGGTGGTTGGATATTTTGATTTGCCATGGTTGTGTGCCTTACTTTGTTTCTGATCTGCCATGTTCTCTCCTTCTGCAAGCAAGGAGCCAATGGTATTTTTTGAGGCTAAAAAGCTGCTGTACTTTGAATAAAAAGGATAAACAGAATATAGTACGGATGGATCCTAACAAGAACTTTGAATTCTTAAAATATTTTTAATAAAAGCAGCCTGTCCCTGTGTGCTTCTGCATTTAATCCTGGGATCCATATGCCATAAGGACACCTTCTCTCTTTAGCAGGACCAAATTGGAATTCTCCTTCCAAATGATGTCTGTATCAAAATGTCACCCTGGAAGGCAGAGATCAGGAGTGACTCTCAGTGCTTTCTCTTGACAAATTCTTTTTTTTTTTTAACTTCAGAGTTTTGAACACTGACATACACTCCTTTCAAGACAAAGGATGGTGTTTTGGATGTATGGTAGAAGACAAATTGTACTCCTCCCTGATTTGCTGTTCATGTGTCTCTGGTGTTGCTGATCATTGTGGCTTTTGGAAAGTATAACAAAAATCTGAAGAGGTGTTGGCAAATGAATGTTTGCTGAGGATTCTTTCAGAGAAGATAGCTGGCACTTTCCCATGTCTCAGATTGGTTCTCCCCTGCAATGTGGGATGGAGTCTTTGGATTCACTCAAAAGTCCTTTTTCCAAACTGGCAATTCAAAATGATTCCAAATTAATTCTATTTCTGAGTATACCTTATACATCACTAATACATACATGCCCATGGTGACAATTTTAATATCTGTTTGATCCACACGGTATTAAATTGTTATGGGCAGCTTACAGTAAGCTTCATTAGAGAGAGTAAAATAAGTATAATAACTTTTTACATAAGCTATGTTGCACGAAAAAGATGAACAGAGAGAGGAAACAAAGGCTGTTGTTGTTTATTGCCGTTATTTTTTAGTCGTTTAGTCTGTGAGTATATCTTTGCTTATTACTGGATTTTAACTGTGTGTGTTTTGCTCTCTGTCAGATATTTTGTCCTGCACAAATTGACAAACCTGAAATTTCTGGATACTCGGAAGGTAACAAGGAGGGAGAGAGAGGAAGCCTTGGTAAGAGGTGCCTTCATGAAAGTGGTAAAGCCCAAGGATGCCAAGGTAGGAGAATAAATGGAAGAAGTAACAAAAATGTGATTCATTAACACTGTTTTAAAATAACTCCAAAAGATTTGCTGCTTCTTTTGCTACAGTAGCAGACAAAACCTTTCAAATGAAAGGACTGGTAAATGTGGTCAGGTGAGGGACAAAAGCCTTAGCAATTTTTCTGTGGTTTAATATCAAACTTTACTGTTACATTTAATGGACTGTGGTTATGTTATCAAATTTCTGGTTTCCAACCTCTGTTTCACATAACAAAGTAACTAATGTGTGTCATTGAGCTTAAAAGAATATTTTTACCCTGTCTAAAGATATGCAACAACTGTGTGATATGCTTTTGTGAAAGAATGCAATTTTTTCTGACAAGTTGTCCCCTGCCTTGCATGTTAAAACACAAATGTCTATGGCAGAGCTCACACCTATGGTGTTTATTGGCTTTTAGTGGACCAGCTGATTCTAATTTTGGATGATGTTACTTAATGTGGTGTCCTGCTTATAAACATCGACAATATCAGAGAGACAGTTTCAATAACCTGAGCTTCTGATACCACCTGCATCAACTCTGGGCACACCGCAGTATGCAAACTGAATGCAAATGTGAATTCTCCCCTTTCCCTTCTTTTCCCATTGTTGATCAATACACAGTAAGAGCAATCTGAGCTTCAGAGTGTTTCAGTGCTGCAGATCTTTCGTAAAACTCCACTCAAGTTTTCTGTTTTCTGTTTGCTGTTTTGTTTTCTAAAATATACCATCAATATTTTATTGCGGATTTCCAATAATGCTGAATAATAATGTAGCAGTTATGGAAATGCAGTGTTTGGTGGCATAACAGTGTTGCTAGATAAATGCATTATCATAAGTACAATTGCAGTGCATAACAAATTATTTCAGACTGATTAATTTATAACTACTAAAATGTTAACTGTTCTGATACAAGCATAGCTTTGATATATTGTTTACTACTGCCTTTGGTTATTTCAGCTTCATATATGTATTAAATGAAATAATTTATTTCTAAGCTGTTGTTGATATCTTATTCACAGCAAACGATCTCTGTTGAATCTGGCCAAATTCAACAGCTGAAATGTGTTAGATATAACACATTGTCTTATTTTATAATTCTTCTTATTTAATCAGATTTTGGATCTGGTGAAGCATTTTTAAAATTTTATTAGCAATTAGATTTTTTTATTTAGAAGTCTGCTTTTTGAATTTTAACCAACATAAGGAAAAAAGTGTCTGTTTTTTAAATTTGAATTTCCTTTTCTGGATGAAACCTCTTTTTAAGTCAATAGCTAAGGGTAAATTACTTCACAAGTATAGTGATAACATCTTTATCTTTTATACATGTAATTGAACCTTTTGTATAGTTTTGAATTATTTACCCACTGTCTTATGATAAAACAGACATTTATTTCAGCAAATTTGCAGAAGGCTCAAATTTACTGTTGTTATTGCCGTACTAAAGGGGTTTTTTTTTCTTCTTTATAAACGGTTTGATACAAATTGCTGATGGTAAAATCATTGTAAATGCTTTTCATGGCATGAATTAATGCTTCTTAAGGTGCTGCAAAATTACCCTCATCATACAATATTATATACATATTACAGAAGTGGCTAATTTAAAATATTAAATTGGATGCAGAACAGATATTATAAACCTCTTAAAATTGTTTTGAATTTGTGCTTGTTTCCTAGGATATTCACGCTTACAGTAGGCATGCATGCAAACTCTTTTTACATCTGAGAACACTCTCTGCATATATGTTTTCAGATGTAGATACGTGTGTATATAGCTATCTATAGCTGTAGTCCAAGACCATAACAAGCAGCATTCCTCTATATATCACAAAGATCATGGGCACAATAACTATACTTTTAAATTCTATCATATGTTATGTATTGAATAAGCATGGTTTTTTTAATTCTTCAGCCCTCAGGTTTCTTGAATCTTGTGCTGTCTGTTTGTTAGTTCCCCTCCCATATAGTTGTTGAGATTTTTGACCAGCTTCAGGCAAATTTAACCAACGGCTAGTGGTAATATAGCCTAAGCTTTCTGAAACTAGTTAGAGGAGGATACACCTTGAACCAAGCTAAGAGGAAGACTGAACCACACCCAGAAATGATCATCAGAAAAACTCCTTAAGATGTTGACCTAGTGATATAAGACCCTGATGACAGTGAACTTCCTAAGAATGTTTTTGTCCGTGCCCCTAAGGCAGTAGCCACTGTGTCAGCCTGTGCTCTCCTGGCTGACAGGAGTTGGAGTGATTAGTATTTATATTGGTGGGTGCCAAATGGAAATGTTGTACTGCCAGACGTAGTAACAACAGTGAGCCTATCAGACTTGTTTTTTCAGAAAAAAACCCACCAAACCCCCAAATCCTAAGTTAGGTGTGTTTTTTTCCCCATTATGATAAGCAGGAGATGGTATGGCTTATTCAGCATAAAAAGCAGACTGATGATCTAAAGAGGCTGTGATGTGGGGAGTTGTTTTCATTTTAGTCTTGACATGAAATACTTGGGAGAGCAAAATACCCCACCAAGAAAAAATACACAAAATGAGAATAAAAGCAAGAAATTTCCATCTGACTAGCTTGTGTTTACTCAAATGCAAAAGTATCTAGCAATCACCAGTCATCACTAAGTCATAAATATTTTATTTTGTATAAATTTTTTTACTTTCATTTTTCTCTATTTTTTCATTTTTTTAACAGAACACTGCACTTTCTTGTGCTTTGCTTCATTTCATCCTTTGTTTAAAATGCATCTGTTTGTGATGTGACTGTCTTATGGAAAGATGCAGTCATTTATTAGAAAACAGTTTAATGTTAGAATGCAGTGTTCCATCTCGCTATGTGTGAGATAAACTTCATTATTCTGTGATGTTTATGTTTTCTTTTGTCAAAATATTGAACATTGTATCATGCCTGATTTTAATAAAGATTGGGTAAGCCTGGCTGGATAAGAGGCATTGAGCCAGATGAGGAAGCCTCATTTAATGACCAGAGCATGACCTCATTTCACTGGCATAAGTGTAGATCAAAGTGGAAGATGCCTGTCCAGTGTGAAGTGTGTTTCTGGGCATGACAGCACTTCACATCAGAAAGACAGCTCAAGAATACGACAGTCAAAATTGCTTAATTATGTCCCAGCTTTGTAATTATTCATCCCTGCTTCTACAAAGAGTACAGTTGTCATTTCTTGACATAATTATTTAAAACTGTACCCTTCTTTGGTTTATAGGTGTATGAATTGTGCTTCCAACTGTTTCATCTTTAAAACTTAGAGATGAAAACCAGAATGTGATTTGAGAATACATTTTAAGACTCCATATTTTTATTTTGCTTGTGATATAAACAAAAAGAAATTATGATGTATCAAAGCATATCATAATTTCATATTTTAAAGGCCTATATTCATGATCATTTAATCTAGATGATAAAATGTGGATATATCCATCATATCTAAAGTGTGTTGCTATGAATACACACTGTAGTAGGTCTCTTTAAATATAAATTTTATTGTTTAATACTGGGTCAATGCACTTGCTTTTATAAAATACATATATTTCCCAGTATTTTACAATCCCTCTGACAAAAACTGTATTTTAACATACTGCATTTTTAAGGTTAACATTTTTATCAGTTTTATTTATACTGGAAAATGCAAGGAGTGTGCATTTAGTCACATGTAGCAGTATTGCAGCTTATGGGACCAAATCATCAGCAGGTACACATGGGTTGATTTCCAAGTCACTGACTTAATATTATGTGGAGCTATTCTGCTTTCTTGCAAGTTTAGCAAGCATCTTGTCCAGTGGGTATAAAGGAAACTGTACAACAAAAGATGGCAGTATAGGTGTTTTGGAATACGTTGTTATAATTATAAAACCTGACATAGCATTTGTTCTCTGAGGAACTAAGATGGAGTCACTTAAGCCGAAAGGCAAGTCTAACATCTGTGTTTCATGTAATGGGTGTATGTGATTATTGCTCACACTCTTACTTGGAGGGTAGAGTACGATTATGTTATGATGATAGGAAAAGGAAATATTTAGGGAGTACAGCTTAAGAAACAAGGTGAGCTAAAATTTACAGTGTTACTTTCAGAACCATTGTGTCAATGAACTGCTAACTGGCAAGATACCTTTTTGAAACAGCTTCTACATAATAAAGTTTCCTATCGTCTAGATGTCAAGATTTCATGTACTAAACCAGAACAATGTCACAAATTTAAGACTCCTACCTAGACTGTGATGCAGCAAATAACATTGACTTCAAAGACATTCTAACAGTCATGATACTACTTGCCCCAATGAAGGATCCATTTTACTATTTGGACAGTTTAAGTATTTTAAACAAGAGTTCATAACATAATTGGCTCATAAAGCCCTAATGACTCATCAAAATTAGGAATTAAAAATAATTGAAAAAAAGCACCAGATTTTATATTTCTATGTATGAACACTTAGGTGGTTAAAAGTGTTCATTGCTGAGTAGGATCTGCCGGATACAAGAGGGGTACTTGCTAGAACTAAGCTGACAGAGCTAAGTTCAGTCATTTAAAATTTTTCATTTTTAAAGTCCCATTGTATCAAAGAAATGCCATGATCCAAAAGAAATGTAAGCTAACATACCTATATAAAAATTTTATGAAATAACTGTGTGTGAATAACACTTGCATATCTTTTTCTAAAACTGGTGCATGACGTCTTGACCTAAGCCTTTCTTTGGCCCACTGTCTTTGCGTATGATCAATAACAGAGCAGTGTTGCACTTGCTACATAGCATTTTATTCTAGTGAGAAACCTAACAATAAAATTAATCTGGCTGTGAATCTGTGCATCGTGTGAGGAAGCTCTTGCTCCTGGAAAAGGTGGGATTAAGAACAGGGTCTAGAGCAATCTGCTAAAGCCAGTAGGTAAGAGTTGCCTTCGAAGTGCCTGCAAGGGCATTTGCCTTAAAGCAAACTGAGAGGCAGCTTTAGGAAAAAGCAGC